CTAAGGCGACTGCTTGGTGCACTAAGCCCGTATCTTGGGTAAGGCAAGGTATGGGTTGTGGAATGCGGTACGCGGGAGACTTTTTTAGCAACAGCTCCAATTCCAGCTCTACCTTAGCTCCAGCGGGCCCGGCCTGGACCTCCAGTGGGCTTTTTCATCTGGGCATCCGCCAGGGACACTACTCTCAGGGTTGCGAGGGACTGTCGACCCGGCTACCCTCCAGCAAACAGTTCTGGAAGAAGACACCCTTGCTTGGGGTATCAACGCGTGCAATGTACCGTCCATCCACCTCCAGTCGCCTCACCTTAAGCTTTCAGGCTTGCTGAAAGCCCCTGTGGCTCCCTATGGTTGACCCTTGCTGTTGGGACCGAGAAGCACTGCACACGACAGCAAAATGCCATACTGAATGTACTACCTCATGTAAGCTATGGATGGAAGTCTTCGTCGTCGAGTGAATAGACGTCGGGTGCCTGCCCAACATGACTCTCGCTACCTACTTAACTTGCCGTGCGTACCTACCTACCTATTTGTAGATTGCTGCCGCTTGCCAGGTAGAATGGCGTCGGCGTGCTGAGAAACGGGCGCCTGCCTCTCTTGCAAGTAGGCAGGTAGCTGCACGCCATCAACATCACAGTTGCTGCCGCCTGCGTAGGAGGTAGGTACATCTGTGTCCACTACCGCGCCATGCCTGCCTCCACTGCCTTACACAACACCACAACACCTCAACACGCTGGAGACTGCCAATTACACCCGCCAGCAAGAACACACACTCGACGCGCATTCACCTGGGCGAGTAAACTCGACACGCACCAGAACCGCCGAAGCGGCAGCGTCGTACCTTAGCAGTAGCCGTACCTAGCTGGTCGCAACTATCCGTTGCAGGACCCGGGAAACCACGAGCACCTCAGAGAGGCAGGCAGACTCAACACAGAGAGAGAGACGGAAAAAAAAAAAAAGAAAAAAAAGTCTCGACCGCTCACTGACCCCAATTTTTTTTTCCTTCAGATCTCCCTTCATTTTTTTCGGTCCTCTCTCTCTCTCCATCATCCCTGACATTTTCTCGGCCTCTTTTCCACCCCTGTCACCAGAGAAACCCTCGTCCGTCTGGCTTTCTCATCCTGCATCCGTTTCTGCCATACGCGCAGCATACTCGAGTGAATTGAGCATATCGTCGCTGCCTCACCCGAATCTCGATCTTTGGGTTGTTGTTATTTTTCTTCGCTTCTGCCCAGCACCCGAGTCCATAATATACGTGCACAATCAGCAGCCGGCGATCGCATAGTGCCCATAGCACTATCCCTCTTTAACAAACCACCCCCTGTAGTACGAAGCGGCGGCCCCCCTCACGCAGCCAGCCAGCCCAGCGCAGAGAAAAGAGCAATCCCTCCATCTCCTCTCTTCCTGCCCGCCCGCCCACTCACTGCCACTGCCACCCGTGCTGCTGCCGCTGCTCTGCTGAGTCTGCTCTCCCGCTGCTTTTTTTTGCCTGCCTTTCCGACCGAGCAGCCCGCGCCCAACACAAAACACGAAAATCCTCCCCTCAAACCCACCCTCACCTCTCCTCCCCCCAAAAGCCTCTTTTTCCCCCCACGAGGCCACCTTTTGACCCAACGGCGACGATACGTCTAAACAAGACGACAACGCGATCCAGAGATTTCCATCTCTTGAACATCCTCAAAACCATCGACGATTATTCTTTCACGCGACTCCTACCTCCGCTGACGACCGTTTTTTCTCGGCTCCTGCTGAAAGAAGCGAAGCTATCAACAGCGACGGCCCTCTCTGCGGCGACTCCCTCCCATACCCAGGCGAATTAGATCCCCCCAAAGGGACGACGAAAATTTTCTCATCGACGACGAGACACCCTACCACGCGATAGAGGCCTGCGCAGATTGACCGCAATCCGCCCTCTCGCCGCCGCTTTCTTTCCGACAGGAAGAGAGGCCACCCAAGAGCTGAGATCACTTCGCCGTAAGTCTCTTCGCCCCATACCTTCCCTACTTCCCCTCTCGAGCCTACTCACCACATCACCCGCTACTTCTGGGCGCTTCGCACATCATCCCCAACAAACGCCTGTCCCATCGCGTCAAATACTAATTTCGCGTCATCAAATCAGCCCCAGAAGTGCATCATCCCCGTAACCAGGGCACCATTATCTACGGCCGCCGCGAAAAAAAAGGGTACACTCTTGGTACACTTGCCGCACACGCGAACTCTTCTCTCGGTAACAGCGGGCCATCTTTCTGGCTGGTGAGGATAAAAGATGGCGGACCAACATGAGGTCGACCTTGACTCGATAATCGACCGTCTCCTCGAGGTTCGGGGAAGCCGCCCCGGCAAGCAGGTCCAGCTTCTTGAGGCTGAGATCCGCTACCTGTGCACCAAGGCTCGTGAGATTTTCATCTCTCAGCCCATCCTTCTCGAGCTTGAGGCTCCTATCAAGGTAAGCACCCATCGCTTGACTCGTATTGGCTGCGTCATCCCCTTCGCTTTGTTTTCCCCGAGTAGCACAGACCTGCTGACGCCGACCCCTCATTCAGATCTGCGGCGATATCCACGGACAATATTACGACTTGCTGCGTCTCTTTGAATATGGCGGTTTCCCTCCTGAGGCCAACTACCTGTTCCTTGGCGACTACGTGGACCGAGGCAAGCAGTCTCTCGAGACCATCTGCTTGCTGCTTGCCTACAAGATCAAGTATCCCGAGAACTTCTTCATCCTCCGTGGCAACCACGAGTGTGCCTCCATCAACCGTATCTATGGCTTCTACGACGAGTGCAAGCGCAGATACAACATTAAGCTATGGAAGACCTTCACTGACTGCTTCAACTGCCTTCCCATCGCCGCTATTATCGACGAGAAGATCTTCACCATGCACGGTGGTCTCAGCCCCGACCTGAACTCCATGGAGCAGATTCGCCGCGTCATGCGACCCACTGACGTATGTATCAACCTTGATATCAGGCCAAGTCCTGGATTCTCGTTCGATTTTTAACAAATTACTGACATGTCATTTTCGCAGATCCCCGACTGCGGTCTTCTTTGCGATCTCCTGTGGTCTGACCCAGACAAAGACATCACTGGCTGGAGCGAAAACGACAGAGGTGTTTCCTTCACCTTTGGTCCGGACGTCGTTTCCCGCTTCTTGCAGAAGCACGACATGGACCTGATCTGTCGTGCCCATCAGGTCGTCGAGGACGGTTACGAATTCTTCTCCAAGCGCCAACTTGTTACCTTGTTCAGCGCACCCAACTACTGCGGAGAGTTCGACAATGCTGGAGCCATGATGAGCGTAGACGAGAGCCTGCTTTGCTCGTTCCAGGTGAGTGTGGCCATGTCTATACTGCGTGGCCGAGGTTGCTGACATATTATGACACCAGATCCTGAAACCCGCTGAGAAGAAACAAAAGTACGTCCCCGGTGGTCTCGGAGGCAACAGCCGACCAGTCACATCTCCCTGGAAGTCCGCTTCCAAGTGATATCAAGAGTTTATTCCAACACACATGCTTCTAGGTTCGGCCGTCGTTAATTGCCTCCACGCCCATCTCGACCCAACGATCTCTTCGCCCATCGATGCGGGTCTCGCCCCCGCACACCGTCCTCCCACTTTCTTGGACCCTCTCAGGGTCTACCTCCGTCAACTCTTCAACCTGTCCGAGTCTTCCCGAGTCCACCCACCCGACTACAATCCGCGCAACTGTTCACGATTACGGCTGTCTGGTAGCTGAAGATAAAACACACAAAAACAACTGGAATTTGCAATGGTTTCCATATCGGTTCGCGTGTCTCCGTGCGGCCCCCCTTATGGACATGAACTATACGGGGTCTCGTGAACAAGTGATTTGCACGCGACGCTGCATGGGAGAGCTCGAAATCGACGCCCCGTCACCGCCTCGATTTCATTTTGGCTTCGTCTTCCATTTTCACCAGATGTTGGACGGCCAATTTGCCAAACAAATGTATGCCAGTTGGCAAGGGCTGCCATCACGGGACCGATGTGACATTGAAACTCCACCTGTGTTCTCGCGGCTCCAGACAGTCGTACCCGGTCTCAGACTGGAGATCATTGCAGCGCACTCACTCCTGAAGCCATGTCTCAATCCAGAACGCTGTGGCACGTTGTAGGACTTTTCACCTCGTGAACCAAGAGCCAAGTTTGTGGAGTCGGCATTCTCCGTTGTGGACGAGGCAAGACGTGGAAGCGTCGCCCCGGCTGGGCAACAGAGTTGGGGGCTAGGTTTTCTCTCTTTTGCTTGTATTCTTCTCCTTCTCTTACTTCTTTTCGTTTCGATTTTCACTGTTTTTCGGAGAGGTCTCTAGTCTGCTAGCGGGGTTGGTACCGAGACCTCATTCAGGGGATCGCCGCTTGGCACGATCTTGGGAATTAGGGGTCTGGCGTCCTGGCCCGGGTTAGCGGTCTGCTCTGTATACACACACAACACACGCGAGGCATACGCCTGGACTGGTCGACCCGGCGTGGTCACGTCTTCGTGGACAACGGATAAGAATGCTGCGGCGGCTTTATGACTGCAATGAGAAAAAAAAGCCTTATACTATTCGAACTTTTTGATCCTTGGTGAAGTTGCTTGTTCCTTGTAGTGATGCTGGGGTGTAGGATATCAAGTTGCTCATCGGCAAGCTAGCTAGGTGTGTCCGGCATGGATCCTCTTGGTCCAATTAAACAACGAGAGCCGCCAAAGACGTTCCCGTCGACGATCATAGCCTGGTCCATCCTTCCTAGCGCGGAGTCCACATTCCTGAGGCTCTCCCCCCCCCCCCCNCGGGGTCCCCATTCCCGGGGCCCCCCCCCCCCCCCCCATGCAACGACGGATCAACAACCACCGGCCAACAGGGGAAGAGGAATGCGCAAACGTCGTCCACTTGCCGGTGACCTCGCAGGCGGATGGTCCCGTCAGGTACGCGGCGGGAAGCTGACGTGTCTAGCCCTCCTCCCCGTGAAAACCACGCACTACCCAAGCTCATCAGTCTAGGTTGGGCCTCAGGCACAGTCTTCGCAGGCTTCCTTCGCATCGTCCTGTTTCTTCTGCAGCTGTAGCTTGCCCGGGGGCGAGACCTCTGCCTTGGCCTGCTGTCCCTTGTTCGCGCCCGCGGCGGCGATGGCGGCCTTCGCCGCGTCATCGAAGGAGCTGTTGTCGCCTTTGTCTGCGGTGTCTGCGGTCTTGTTCGCGTTTGCGGGGTGCTTCTTGAGGTGCGGAATCACGTCCGCGGCGGAGGGCAGGCTGCTGCTGCCGTTCTCCTGGTCTTTGCCCATCGTTGCAGAAGAAGGCTCCGCGGCAGGAGCTTTGCTGTGCTTCCGGTCGACGTGTCCGAGGTCCCTGTCGGGCTCGATGACGTCGCGCAGGCGGCGCTTGAGCTCCTTGGTCTCGGGGAATCCGCCTTCCGTCTTGCGGTCCCAGAGGATCGTGGAGGAGGTCGTCGCGGCGCCCGGGGGTTGGTGGGTTAGGGTTACCGTGAAGGTGCCGCCTGTTGAGGGTTGGAGGGCCACTTCGCCGAGCGAGGTTGAGAATGTTGAGAGGAGCTCCTGGGCGAACTGGCGCGGAGCGGGATGGTTAGGTTAGTGTCAATGTTCACTCGTACGGGATGACGTTTGGGACAGTTGATGTTGAGGCTGTGAGACGGAGGACGGCCAAGAGGGGGGATGAGGTCATTGGGTTAGGAAATGTCGGGTAGTTGGGTAGGACGGGCGGTTGCTTGTATTGCAGCCCCAGGGTCAGGGCAAGCGAGGGAGGTGTAGCGTGAGAGGGCAGGTTGGGGGGACGTACATATGCTGCGCGAAGCATCCACTTACACTGGGTGCAGAACTGGATGGCTACGCGGGGGAGGGGGTATGTTGTTGCGGTTGTTGATGGGTTGACTTCAGCCATTTTGGTAAAGGCTGATGCAGAATATGATTGAATTTGGCGCAGATTCGAAAGTCTCGCTTGGCGTCTTCTAGTTCTCAGTGTTGGATACCTCAGTGACGGTGATTTGCGAGTATGGTGATGCGGGGGTATCAACTCCAAAGCAAAAGGACTCAGCAACTTGGTTCAATAGAGGAAGACACGTTCTGGTGAGTGAGTGAACGTCCAGCAGGGGCTTGAATTATCGGAAACCCGTGGATCGTCACCGTTCGGATGCTCGGTTCGCGCCTAGGCCAAATCAAGGTGTACAAGCAAGATGAGAAGAAAACAGACTAAGGAACAGTCGGTTCATCCTGCGTCATCGGGCGGCGTAGTCAACACGACGCGGGAAGCGGGGTGGGGGGGGACCCAGTCGTGCCAGTGCTCCCAGCTCTAGACTAGGACGCCACAATTTGGATGGGAGCTGTGGCCAGCAGCTCATCTGGAGGGATTGGATTGTGGCTTGCGTCCGGGCCTGGCAGCTGGCTGACAAAGAGGGAAAAGTGGCCGACGCCGGCGGATGCGGAGACCCGGCGGAGGGTAAAATTGGGAAACACCTCAGGGAGCCAACCCCGTCAAGTGCATAATGTGGTCGGCGCTGCAACTGGCAAACACCTGGCCACCATCTGCAGGCCTGGCAGGAAACGGGCAAAAAAACGGCGCTTTTGGAGGGGAGGGGGGTAAAAGCGGTGGTGGTGGTGCTTGGCTTGGGTGTGTTTGCCCACAATGGAAACCTTGTCCACCTGACAAAGCGACCGGGGTGACGGGAGTGCCATTGCAGAAGGGGGAGAGGGGGCCCCCCGGGAAAGAGGAGAACAATTGTGAAGCTTGTGGCAGGAGGTGGCTCCGTCGCTCCGACGCCTTGCAGGAAAACCCGGCAGCAATTCAGGTACCGGTGGAGTCTTGCTGCAACGCAAGGTCGCGCGGCCATTGGGAACGACCTGGGACTGGATGGACAGCACTCGCTGAGTCGTCGTCGTCGTCGTCGTCGGGGGGTGCGGTCGCGGGTGCTGGTGCGATGAATGGTGGTCCTCCAGCGCCGCCCGCCGCAAGCACCACTACCACTGGGCAAGCAGCAAGCACACCAGCCGCGATGGAGAGCGCACGCAGCTCGGCGGGCCAAGAAGTAAGAGGAAAAGCAAATGCGCCGTACGCAGTAAAGTGCCGTTCTCTCTTCCCTAGCGTGGGTGGAGGAGACGGTCTGCGAATGGGTTCGAATAAACGGGTCTTGGTCTCTTCTTGGTCTGGCTGAGGGACGACGACAAAGCGCCTCCCGTCAACCCTTTCCCGCTGAGGCCCAGAAGGCATGATGCTGCAAAAAGGGAAAGGAAGTATGAAAGATGAAATAATGGGAAGGCTGTAAAGTAATTGAATGAGATATTGATGATTGACAGGAGGGAATTAGGTCGGCATCCAATAGTGGCAATGGCCGTAGATTCCCCCGGCCGAGCAGGGCAAGATGAGTTGAACCAGGCCTGCTCCGATGTGACCCCTAGGGAAATGAAATGGACCTCTTACCGTCTCCATCCCAGCAGGTCAGCACCAACCAGCCCTTTCCCAGCGCGTTGCTTCACTCCTCCGGCTCCTCCCCCCGTCCGGCGTCCCCCCTTCTGCCCTGCTGAGGCTCCAATCGCTCCTCCTGCTGCTCCTCCTGGCCTGGCCTACCTCCTGCCGTTGCCCGTCCACAAGTCGCAGGTCCTGGCGAAATAAACAGCAAAAAGGGACGCTGCATATGTCTCAGATGACCCTCTGACCTGGGTTTGGTTTGAAGAAAGATCTTGCACAAGAATAGAGAACACACACTGCCAGCCACAGCAGTACGGTGGAAAGTCTGTGTGTACGGAGGTGCTTCCCCCACCGTTAGATTTGCTTCTTCAGCGCCGCGCCGGATGGATGGCCTGATGTCTCTCGCCGTCCTTCCCATTCCCAGGCCATCGGGACCACCATCACCAACACCACAACCCCTGAACGAAGACGACATAGAGCCAACAGGACCTGTGTTGGTGCTGTGCCGTCCTCGATTAAATCTTGGTTTTGAGACTCCTCGGTCCCCCGAGAGGCCTGCGCTGATGATGGAAATCGGAAGGGACTCTGGTCACGAAAGTGGTTCAATCCAGGGCCGACCGCCCTCACCCTCACCGACCCCGGTCCGCCAATGTAGCCATTGGTTGGCCGAAATGACCTGATATGGAACCACAGCAGATGCGGGTGATTTCGTGGCTCCACGGCGCGCAACGCACATTGCACCGTCTGTTTTGGTGGTTTACCCTTTTGCGAGGCTGTGGAACCCTATTTCGCCCCAGAGGCTGAAGCTTGCACCTGTCGTGACAGCTTAGATGCCCCGTAGACACGAGACATTTCAACACAATTGGGACCAAGTGACACAGCAAGTTTCATGGAGACAAGGCATTGATTGATTGAAGCTATTCACACACTCGGTGCGGGATATAGTGGGAAAAGGGGGAGCAGACAGATCCGAAGAAAGAAAAAAGAGTACAGGACATCAAGAGAATTATTACATGCTGAAGAGCTGTCCGCCAATAAAAGCCTTGCCTCCCAGACAACCACCGCCTTCCTCCCCGATGATAATAGAAATAAGAACAGCATAGAAGCATTATCGTAGCGGGGGCCATTGCCTCTCTTCTCTCATCTCGAGTCGCCTCCCCTTCTCCCTCGCACCCGCACTCGCCGTTCCCAGATATTACTGACCCGTAATTGTTGTCGTCGTCGTCGTCCGTTGCCTTTTGACTTTTTTCTGGAATCCGTCCAAGAACAAGATATCCTTTTTTCCCTCTTGGCTGGCAAACGTCCGGGAACCCTTTGTCGTCTTTTCCCAATCCTGGGAAACCTTTTGTGTTTTTCGTTTCCTCGTCGACTCCGCGCTAGTCTAGGACGTTGATGGTTTCCGATGATTCCATGACCGCGATTAAAAACAAACAACATCGTCTTTTCGGTGCTTCGGGATGGGTTGCTCGCTGTTTCCGGGAGGTTTGTGCTGCATTGCCCGATGGCCTTCGGGGGTCTGGTATTCCACGCGTAAAATAAAAATGACAATCCAATCGGAGCCTCTCGACTGATCCGATTAAAAACGACGTCGCTACCCATGACTTCCGTTGCTTTTGTGGTTTTTTTACATCACGATACAGCATCCGCCGCTTTGTTGTGGTGCGTAGGGATCCTCGCCACGGGGGACAGCGCCCCAGACCGACGGAACCATGTAGTCTCTCGTGCTGTTGCAGTAGGCAATGATGCTGTTTGATGAATTAGTGATGAATTCGCGATGGTCGCGATGGCGTGGTCATCCAGAGCCATCTACAATCAATTGGTTGAACAAGAAGGCCTACCTCTTAGAAGCATTGCTAACCGGAATACGTTCCCTCTCGAGATCCTCGCGCAAGCGGTTGTTGAGTTCCGTCAATCGGCGCAGCTTGAGATCAGCCATCGACTGCTTGTTCTTCTTGATCTGCGACGGGTCGCCAACATCGCGGGAGGTGTAGGCAGGCATCGTGGTGGCGGATCGGGGGGCTGGAGACTTGGACGACGAAGGAACGGAAGACGACTCGGCGACAGCGACGGGAGCAGCGCTTGCACTGGCACTGGGGGTCGCTTTGGAAGATGAAGCGACAGCGGCAGCGGGTTGTCGTCGCGATTTACTGTCGTCGGTACGAGGTTTGTCGTCCTGGTCCTGCCGCTGGCGAGATGTCGATGACTCGGCTGTGGCGGCGACGGCAAAAGTTGGTGAGGTAGAGGTGTTGGCGGCGGCGGTGGTGGTGATGTGAGAAGAACGTTCCTGGTGAGCGAGCATATCGTGTCAGTTTGATTAGAGTTTCCCTCCTTAGACTCCGCTTTGGCGGTGTTTGCCGCGTTTTCCCACCACCCCGTGGAACGAGCGTCTTCGTTCGGGGCGGGAGAAGGGGGGAATAAATGGACAAAGACGGGGGCGAAAACTCACAGGTGTGATGCCGCGGGGGCAGATGGGAGAGGAGGAGGACGGGAAGGAGGGATTGAGAGAGAATGATCAAGGCCGGTTTCGATCGAAGCGAATCGACAAAGGAAAGAGCGTCGGGGGTGGATTGGATTTGGGGGGGGATTACGGGTGTCGAGGTTTTGGGTACGAAGGTAGGATGGTTGCTCGGATAGAGAGGATTTGGATTTGGGAAAGCAAAAAAAAAAGGCAGCAAAAGGCAAAGGAGAGGACGGACGGACGTACGTGTGGACGGGACGGGGGAGGGAAAGGGAAAGGGAAGGTGTCTGTCTGTCTGGCAGAGTCTCTCTGTCTGGTGCTTTGCTTGCTTGGTAAAAGGGTCAAGGCAAGGTGCCAGGTACTACTTTACTAAGGTGAGGTGGGAAGCGACACTGGGTAGGTGCCGACGAAAGAAAAAAAAATGGGCAGGGGAGAGAGCGGAATTGGGATTGCACCTGCGTCTCTCATTCGTGCTGGTGCTAGGGGCGCTGGGTTTGGATTGGATTGCGGAGCCGTGGGAAGGTTCCCCTAACGTGAAAGGAAAGGTCCTGGACTCCAAGGTTACCTTACGCTCGGGCCACCAGGTGCACCATTGAAGCAAGCAGCGCGCTCCGTACCGCACCGCGCGCGCGAGAGGAGAGGAGCGAGGCAGATGCGAGACCGATTGCAGCTGGTGCCGGCTGGAGGAGCCATGTCCACCCCACGAAGTACCCGACTGAGGTGAGGTGCGGCAGTGTGCGCTGCAATTGTGCAGATGCCCCGAGATGAGGTGCAGGTGCAGTGGCTCGCACCTCAGACGACCCAGACCAGGGTGGACGGGGCATATTGGTCATGTCCCTTTCTCGAGCCGGCGGGGGTGTTCGCTTGACTGGACCGGGGTCTGGTATCTCTTCTCTCAAATTGTCCCTCGCCCAGCACGAGACGGGTGCCGCACGGACTCGTCCAGTGTTGGCCCAGCTCTCGCGGGATTGGCTGGAAGTTGGCCGGAGCGGGCAATCTCCAAAATTGGGTTTCCGCCTAG